AGTCTCCATTGAGAAAAGCATTATTAATGTCAATCTGTTGAATTGACCATCCAAATGTAGCAGCCAATGTGAACACCAACCTAATGGTACTAGTCTTAACCACTAGACTAAAGGTTTCCAAGAAATCCACCCCAGCTGTTTGTTGAAAGCCTCTAGCAACTAACCTGGCTTTGAATTTATCTACAGATCCATCTAGTTTGTATTTAGTTCTGAACACCGACTTGTTGGAAATGACTTTCATGTCAGGCTGAGGATCCACTAAAACCCAGGTGTTATTGTTGATGAGAGCCTGAAATTCACACTGCATAGCTGCCAACCACTCAGGTTTAGACAAAGCTTCATTGATAGTAGCAGGCTCAGTGAGAAGAGGTTGACTAATATGTGCTGCATAGGTTTTTGGTTTGAAAGTACCAGCTTTGGATCTGGTAACCATGGAATGAGTAGGAGGAGGCTTAGGTGAGACAGCCTGCTGTGAAGCATCAACACCACCAGAGGGGGAAGAAATATTAGAATCAACAACAAGAGGTACAGTGGAGGGAGTAGAAGAAATATAAGGAATAGAATGAGTTGGGGTTGAATATGAGGTATGCCTTGATGAAGATGGGGAGGAAGAAGGCTGAGTAGAAGCAGTAGGACAAGAAGGAATAACAGAGGTAAAGAAAAATTGAGAGGAATGAGAGGGAGAGCTAGAGACAGGTGGTGGAGAGGAGGAATCAAAGAGCTCAACATAGGGAAAATCAGACTCATTAAAAAGCAACTGAGATGGCTGTGTACACTATCCCTTGGGAGTTAAGGCAAAAATAACCTTTGTGGTTACCACTGTACCCAAGAAAAAGGCACTTGGTACTTCTATACTGAAATTTGTTGTTGTTATAAGGCCTAAGGTAGGGAAAACAGGCACAACCAAAGGGTTTAAGAAAATTTAGATCAGGAGATGTCTTGAATAAAAGGGAGAAGGGAGAGGCATGGTTGAGAACAGGTGTAGGCAATCTGTTCAAAGTGTATACAGCTGCAAGAAAAGCATGCCACCAAAACTTAAGAGACATATGAGCCTGTGCTAGTAAGGGTAAACCCATTTCCACAATATGAAGATGCTTTCTCTCAGCTTTACCATTTTGCTGGTGAGTGTGAGGACAAGGATGTCTGAAGTGAATACCAAGAGAGCTGAGAAAAGGTACAAGAGACCTGTACTCACCACCCCAATCAGACTGAAGGCACTTAATAGAAGACTGAAACTGAGTAGCAATAAACTTGACAAAATTCTGAAAAATAGGTGCAACTTCAGACTTTGATTTCAAAGGAAAGATCCAAGTATATCTTGTGTAATCATCAATAAAGTGCAAGTAATATTTATAACCATCAACAGATTGCACATGGGAGGGACCCCAGACATCTGAATGCACAAGCTCAAATGGAAAAGTAGTCTTAGTCTGCTGAGAATTGAAATGCAACTGATGAAGTTTGCCAATCTTACAAGCATCACAAAAAGGAAGCGATGAAGGAACAGACAAATGTAAACTACTCATTACTCTTCTAAACACATTCTCACAGGGGTGACCAAGCTTTCTATGCCAGCTGGAGAGAGTAGCTTGAGGGAGAGCAGAAGCTCTAGACTGAACAGAAGCTGTGAGACTGCAAGGAGGAACATCAACAGATGAAGTGCTGAGATGATGAAGGAGAGAAGTGTGCTGAGAGAGATCCAGTTGATACAGCCCATCTTTAAGAACTCCTTCCAATAGCACTTGATGAGTTGTCTTGTCCTTCACAAGACACATATCAGAATGAAATTCAATTACTATATTATTGTCCTTGGTTAATTGAGAAATGGATAACAAGTTTTTGGTGATGTGAGGAACAAGTAATATGTTATTTTAGCAACACAAGTAGATGATTTGGTGTTGCAATGGAGGATGAACCAATGGGAGAGATAGGTAATCTAGAACCATTGCCAACAAGAACCATAGCACTACCTTGATAAGGTTGTGCCTGAATGGAGAGGTTCTCAAATTTGCAGTTAAGTGGTTAGTTGCTCCACTGTCAAAGTACCAATTTGGATCAGAACCATAAGTGGAAGATGAACCACTGAGAGAAGGTGAAGCATGAGACTCTCCAAGATGAACTTGAGGAGCAGAAGCAATAGTATCCTGACCAGTGAAGCTAATATCAAAGCGCTTGTAGCATTTCAAAGAAACATGGTTGGATTTACCACAAAGTTGACAAATGACACGATCAGTATTTTTGGAGAAACGACCACGACCACGATTTGACCTGCCTCGACCTCTGTAGGAACCACCACGACCACCACGAGACTGCACAAATTGCGCAGAAAAGGCAGTTTTAGAGCTGGAGGAAGAAGACGCAGCCATGGCCGGAAATGCAACCGGAGACGGAGAGGTGATACTAGCTAACCGCATCTCATGAGTTTGCAGAGAGAATTGAATTCAGGAAGGGAAATAGAGTCAAGACGAAGGGTGATATTGACCACCACAAATTCATAATCGGCACCCAATCCTCCGAGAATATACATCGCAAGCTCATCGTCAGAGATAACGTGACCAACAGAAAGTAACTCATCAGCAAAACCTCGCATCTTAAGAAAATAGTCATCAATAGACAAATCACCCTTTTTGAGAGTCTGAAGTTGAAACTTCAGATGAAGAACACGAGCTTTTGACTGCGAGTGAAAGAGCTTAAGAAGTACAAACCAAACCTCAGCCGATGACGAGCACCTGGTGACATGACCAAGCATGGATTCAGACATGGAAGCCAACATCCAACTCAAAATCAGCTGATCAGTGCGCATCCAAGTGATAAATGCCAGATTAGGCGCAGATGAGGAGGAGCCATCAACGGCAAACAGATATTTCGCCGGAGGAGAGGGCTGAAGCAGATAATCCTCGAATCCATACGCACGAACAGTGGAGAGAATTTGAAGCTTCCAATATGAAAAATTCGATCGATCGAGGCGGAGAGGTAACGGAGTGAGATGAGGAAGGAAAAGAGATGTCGGCGACGAGACATGGAGCTCGGCCATGGCGAAAAATTTTAACCTAGCTTTGATATCATATTAGAGAGAAGATGGAGAGCAGAGTAAAGCATAATGAGTGTTGTGTTTTCCATTAACTGTGATCTGAGTTTATATACAAGGATTATGAAAGATAACAACAACTCTGCAACCTAACCGAGAACACTCACGTGTGAAATATTCACGTGCTAATTATGCACTAAACCTAACTAACCAGGGGCGGAGCCAGGGGGTGGCTCACCCGGGCTCCAGCCCAGTCTTAATTTTTTGTCTAATATAAATATGTAGTAGTAAAAAAAAAAATATTTTAACCCATGTTTTATTAATTTAATTCATTAATTTAATTCATGATATAATTATTTAGTCCGTATACATTTAAAATAATTGATATTAAACCAAAATATTATAAATATTTTTGGACATGACTCAAACTTTTCATATGTATTTTTATGTGGTTATAGCTTACTTTGTCATTTTTTCTTCTTTTTTTTTTTATTTTTTAATATTTGATTTAATACACGATTAATTTATATTATTTATATCAGTTTATATGTAAAATACATCAACTTGTTAACTTTTAAATAAATTATATTTGAATATGCGAAATAGATAATTTAAAATCATTAATTTGCATAGCAGACCAATGAAGCGACATTTGGAATTCCACAATTTAAGCAAAATATCATTGAAGCCAAATTGAGTCGAGTACATCGTGTTCGAACTTGTATTCGTCTAATAAATGAACATGTTTGGCTCGAAACTTTTAATAAATTGAGTGTAATCAACTAAGCTCCGCTCGTTTGAACTAAGTTCTCATTTTATGTTTTATTATATGAATGAATCACGATTAATTTTTTACGAGTCGGACTGAGTTATACTCCCTAACAAATCGGTTCTAGCAGCCCAGGGTAAAAAAATATTTCTGGCTACGCCCCTGTAACTAACTAACTAACTAGCTAACTGTTCATTTACTCTAACACATAATTTGACTACATTTTTAAAACATATTGTTATAATTTTATATTTTGTAACGTTTTTTAAAACGCTTAACAAACACTTCAATTTTACTTGCACTTATTAAAAATGTCGCCACATTTATGTTGTTAGAACTATTTTTTTTGGTGTAGTGATTGAAGAATTAATTTCAAGTGTAATAGGAAAAGGGGAAAAAGGCCGATGATACACTAGGGGCGAGAAATTTTGGTTTGAAAATTGAAAGATGACCTAAAATATAAAAATGGACGTCAAGACGATGCCTGAATAGTCCCATTTAAGTGAACAACAATTTGATATATTTTGACAAAAAGAAATTGAGAGTGAGTTAGGAATACTAAGCCGGACAAAACGTACATGAATAAGTATGAACAAACAAAATCATCCAATCACATATAAGTTTAATATATTAGATATTTTCTTATGAATTTGAATTTAGTCTATCAATTTTGAAGTATTAATGGATCAAAATTATAACTCAAATAATAAAAGAAAAAAAACAAAAAAAAAACAGTATAGCTAATACAAATAAAGAAAAGAAAAAGTATGCATGCAACTCAACATACATACATCTTAATATAGGAGAATGCTACCATCCCGTTACGGGATGGTTCCGTTGTATTTTGTAGCCATAGATATACATGTAATCCAGTGATGAGTAGTTAATCCAACGCTTAAAAACACAACGGAACCATCCCGTAACGGGACGGTAGCATTCTCCCTTAATATATTAGTTTATCAAATGAAACCACTCCCACTAGACTCGCTCTAACTCCACACACACACAAACCCTCTATTTTCCTCTCTATTTTTCCTCTTCTCCTCAAAATAAAAGCAAGAACACTCCTTCCAAACTTCCATTCCATTACTTGTGCTTTTGTTTCTTGCTTCCCTTTCATAACCAATTTTGTTTCAAAATCCATCATAATCATTCTTTTCTTTGTTATTTATTTGTAATTTCCAAATCTAATTTTGTGCATGCATGGAATTGGGTGGAGCCCGCGGTAGGGATCCCAAAACCCTCTTCCGCGCCGACTCGAGCCGCACGCTGCTCGACGTGATCCGTGACGACCCCCCCTCGAAGGACGGGCACAGGAGCTGGCGCCACTTCAAGGAGAAGCTCAAGCGCCGGGACAGCGGCGGCCGAGGCTCCGCATGGACATCCACCGTCCCCGTCCCGACATCCGACATCCCCATCCGGGCCTCCTCCTCGGGGGCACTGGGCCCTTCCTCGGCCCGGATAAGCCCGATCCACGACCAGACGGACCCGCCCAACATATCGGCCGTGGCCAGCGGGCGGTTCGACCAGAGTGGGCCTGCATTCCCGATGCGGAGGCTTCAAAGGGAGGAGAACAACGAGGATGAAGAGGAGGAGGAGGAGTCGGGGGAGCTGACCCCGCCGGTGAGGATGTCGCTGATGTCATTGCTGGCGGAGACGGACGAGAAGATAGGGATGGACGGGCTGGCTTACATGATGGAGGACGAGGACGAGGAAGAGGAAGAGGAGGAGGACGGGGGAGGAGAGTACAATAGCTGCTGCGTTTGCATGGTGAGGCACAGAGGCGCGGCATTTATGCCGTGCGCCCACTCCTTCTGCAGGCTATGCTCGCGGGAGATGTGGGTCGAGGAGCGGGGGAACAAGTGTCCCTTGTGCAATAACTACATATTGGAGATTCTTGATGTTTTTTGATACCTTCGATTTTTAATTTTTATTTTTTAATTAAATTTATTTGTTTCGGACTTGGTTTTATGTTAAATTGGTGTTATTTTATCCAAGAGCGTTTGGATGAGATGACTTGGGTTTTTTCGAACTTAACCAATGGTCTCGTGTTTGAGTCATGAGAATGCAGCAGTGTTAAAACTCTTGAGGGAGAGTTTTGCCGCCCTTGTGGTCCTACCCGGCTCGATTCCGGATTAATCAGTTCTCCTGTGGATCCAGAAACCGGAAGGTGTCTGTATTAAAAAAAAAAAAAAATTGGTGCTATTTTGACTTAATTAGTTAGTGGTGGTCCGGTGATCAATTCCTTACTGAGTGGCGTCAAGTGTTGGCTGCCACAGGTATTAATTTGAACAGTTAATTTTGTTTGGTCGGCTTAATAATTAGTAGATTGTGAAAAAATATATATAGTTTTAGGGAGATGTTACAGTTCCGTTATGGAACCATTCCGTCGGATTTGTAAATGTTAGATCAACTATCTCGAACGGTTACATGATGATCTAATGGTTACAAATTCCGACGAAATGGTTCCGTGACGGTATAAAGAGTTTTATTAGAGATTGTCACCTTAAAAAACAATATAAATAGAAGATAATGACTAGTAACAGTAATTTCTAGCATTTGTTTTTCAAGTGTGAGGAGAAAATGCAAACTTATTAAATATTAATAATAGACATTGGCTATTTGGATATTTCTTCACTTGTATTTTTCATAAGCTCTATTTTGTGCTTGGTGTGGATCAATTGTGAGCATTATTTTGTGCATGGTAGAGAGAATAATGTCATTTTCCTTAATCCAAATTCTAATGTGGAGAAACTTTTTAGTAAATTTTTTCACATATTCCACAAAATTAGTGGATGTCCTTGTTATTCGCAAATCTTATATTTAAATTGACATGATGAAAAATGGGGTGTTACTCAAATGCAATTAGTTGCATGATGTATGATTAGCACTGGGCTGGATATTGTTTATGTTGTTAGTTTTATAGTGGATGTTCGAATTGCTTTTTTCATCCGCGTCCCAAAGCTTATATACTGGCTCACACGAAGTTAAAAGTGTGTTCGCTGTCAAGACGCGCTCCATTAGGAAAGTTCTTGATTGATTTTGCCGCCTCAATTATGGAATGTCTTACTCATGCGGCTGAATCCTTTTCACAAAGGCAAGTGCATCTGGAAAGGTATTTCATTAATCCTGCATAAATATTAAAAATATTAGTTAATTTCAATTATGAAATGACCTGGTTTTGGGCATCAAATACCTCTTTAAGTCGCTCTTTGAAGCTCAAGGTGAAACATGTATTCCGCGAAGGGAAGTTTGCAGCTGACCATACGGCTTCCTTCGTTGCGGAAGGTTTGTTTGGGTATCAATTATTTAATGTTCTGCCAGATGGGATACGACCGTGGTTTCAACATGATCTTATTGATGTGTCTTATTGTCCTATTCGCTAAACGTGTGTAACTTAAACCGATAGGCTTGGGCCTCTTTGTACAAAAAAAAAAAAAAAAGAAAAATGTCATCATCAACAAGAAGAAACTAACTATTATGAGATACCTTAATTGTATGTGATGTGTGATTGTATAACGTGGTATATATGGACAAGTTCAAAGCGTGTGGATATGTTTCAAGGCGCTGATGATCAAGATCACACAACCCATGCCACCTTTGTTTTCTCACTCATAAACTCTAAAAAGGTGCAATTAGATGTGTTATATAAATACATGAACCATAGTTCAAGAATTCATTCATTTCACCCCATACATTAATTAATTAAGTTATATATTTATTTGCGAACGGGATACAAATTTGTATACATAATAACTAAAGTTTCATGCTTAAAAAAAAAAAAAAATATAATGTATAGTTATTGTGATAAATTGAGTGTTTTTGTGATCGTTTTCGTTATTGTGGCCGTGAATAATGTCCGATCAGACGAGGTACAGTTCGACGTTAACTATGATGTTACTTGGGGAAGTGACCATGTTTCAATCATCGACCAAGGAAGAGAAGTTCAGCTCTCCATGGACAGCAATTCCGGTTCAAAATATATTTTTTATAATTTCTTTTTAATATTATTTAATGACTAAATAGTTATAAATAATGAGATAATAGTAAGTAATGTGTGTGTTGTGTTGTATTGATTAAAATAATTTTCATGCAAATGTAAATAGGGTCCGGATTTGGGTCGAAGCTGATATACGGGTCCGGGTTCTTTCATATGAGGATCAAGCTGCCCAACAAGAACACTGCTGGAGTTGTTACGGCTTTTTATGTATAATTTTATTTAATTAATTGATTCTAAAATCAATTCTTTTTTTTTTTTTCTGGCACTTACAAAAATTAATTTAACAATCTAAATATTATTTGGCTTAGAAAAAAAAGGGATCACGTGAAATTATTAATAAGGAATAAATTATTTTCTACTATCATTCAGATTGTAAAACTCCTATCGTTTTGTCAAATAAATAAATCCCCGGCTCGATTCCGGATTAGTCGGTTCCCCTGTGGATCCGGAAACCGGAAGGTCCCTGTACCAAAAAAAAAAATAAATAAATAAATAAATAAATCCCCCTCCCCCTATATATTAATTCAGA